TAGGCAACCACACATTTGGATCTTCTTGATCACCCATTCGAGATTTGAATTCTCTCAGTGCTCCCCTTCTTCGTTCATTTCTGACCAAATCTTCAGGAGCGTTCATCTTAGCGAGACCCCTTGCAAAGACTTGCCATCCTATTGGATCTACACCTTTGCGCTCTCTCATAAAATCTCCTATCAAATCAACTACATGGGAGCCTGGAAGAGGTCGGTCTTCAAACACCAGCTGCCCACGACTATCCCATTTCATGATTTCTGGGTTTTCTCTTATTTTTTCAATGAGCAGCYTGCCGCGGTTTTTAAGASACTTGGGTAAGGCACTGATAATGTCCCGCTCAATTTTATCCTGTACTTCCGATCTCGTTGCTGCTGSTGGTGGTGGTGGTAGTTTCTCCTCCCCCTCTTGTGGTTCCTTCTGATGCTCTGGACTAGCTTCAAATTTAATTTTCATGGGTTCATCTCTTCTCTGGTTGTAATAATTGAGGTAGTTTTGAAGTGATTGACTGTAGTGTTTGACTTTTTCCTCGTCCGATAACTCTGTGCTTTTCAATACATCCTCCATATCATGATCAAGTCTACTCAGTCTTGACGTCAAAGGTGTGGTTTGGATCTTTTCTCGCTGTTTGAGCCTTTCCAAAGTTTGTTCAGGGAMCAGAACCATCTTCTTGGAGTAATTCATTTAAAAAAATGTTCTAGCACACTTAGCACGGGAGGTAAGAGAAGAGATAGAAAATTTCCTCCTTTCTGAACCAACACCTTTCTCTTTTGTGACAAAGGGACTTGTTTATCCACCAACGACAACAAAGGCCTTTTATATCTATGAAGTTCCTTCTTCTGACGTGGTGTAACGGGTACAGTGGACTTGAGGATATTATACACACATTCACAAACGCTCTTGATGAGATCGTCGTCAGCAACTTTGAGCAAGGCTTTAGCTTGATGGGGTTTGCTTGTAGAYAACACCTTTAGATGATGGAAGTTGTTTCTCACTTGCCGACTCATGGTAAACTAAATTATCGAGTAGGAAGCAAAATGCTTTATAGTTTTTTCACGTACGCATATTGTGTTTCCTCGGGAAAGATATTCGTWCGTAGACGAAAGTCTTCYWRAGTCTCTGGTTTGAGGTCACAAAGCAGGTATCCGTGGGGCTTGGCTGTGGCGTCGTTAAAGGCTTCTTGCATATACTTGACATAACCTGGAAACATTTGTTTAGCCAAGTGGTTGATTTGACTGCTATCTCTTGGAGACTTGAAGAGAACCATGTAATGAGCGTTGAGACTGATATTCCTTAGTTCTTTACCTTGATGGAAAATATTTTGCAAAATAAAAATGCACGAAAGGTTCTTGTGGTGACATCCTTTGRTAAAAATATTGGTTAGTCGTTTGTCATTGCTCACTTCATTCATCAAATCGTCAATAATTACGAGATTTCGGACACACGGGTCAATGATCTCTTCCAAATCATGAGGCAGTCCTTCCACGAAAGAAATGTTTGGCACGGTAACCATCATTTCTTCATATGCAGGCTGGTGCATGCCATAACACCATATGATATTTTGAGGAGTYCCATCGAACATAACATCAGCATTTTCTAAAAGTCGCTTAACGAACTGGGTTTTTCCACAACAGGTGGGTCCAGCGACAATGGCTCCAAAAGGGTGTTTCAATCTTGTGTCCATCTCAAATGTAAATGAGCCAAATCATATATCGAATGGTTTATATAACTTTTTCTCCGATGGAATTAACCAGTCGCATTTTGCATTATCGTATTCTTGAACAACTTTAAAATTTTGAAGTTTCGCTCTTTGTAAATAAGGTTTTCTCTGTTCGGTTGACAACTCGTGAACTTGGGCTAAATGATTGGAAAGTTTAACGAGATATTTTGACCCACAATTTGGTACTGGACAATCTTTGCAAACGCGATAACTCATGTTTTTATTTAAAAGACTTGAAGAAAATGAGTTTCATATCTGAAAATTTGAATTTTTATATAAATTTCGAGGGACAAAAGGGACAAAAGGGACAAAAGGGACAAAAGGGACAAAAGGGACAAAAGGGACAAAACACAGACGTTTGTTGCATCTATTCAATGGGTTTTATTATCTAAAGTAAACAAAGTGGTGATAACAAATTAAACAATCTTATGATATGAGATTACATAATTTTTCACAGCTATTAGAACAGCTATTAGATAATGGTTAAATATCTAAGGGGATAGTTGTGATGCCGTCTTCTAACACTTTTCGCTTAGGATAAAAATACGAGAATCCATTTCTTGTTTGATTATATGTGTAAATGCTATTGTTCACGACTCTAAAACCTTTGTTCAGACCACTACTACTTTGCTTAGTAAGCAAGACACTTAGGTACTTATCCTTATTGATTTCATTACATTTCTTAGAAACACCTTTACAACTGTATTTATCGCTAACCCCAAAGCAGTAGTAGGTCTTAGAACAAAGACCTATGATCCCATCCCCTGACCATTCCTCTTTGAAAAGGCCTGGAGTTCGCTTATCATAGGCTGCGTTCTCAGCACTATCGGTTCTCGGAAACCACTGAGACTTTTCCAATGCATATTGCTCCTTCAATTCTGGCCTCACCAATTCTTCTATACTGTTGCCTGATAAAGCAATATACGCAGAGTCTGTATCCATTTCACAATATTGGAAATTACTCCTATCTATATATTTGTCAATGAAATCAAAGTAGAACTGGAGCATACGCAATTTAGCATATTGATAAACGAAGAAGCCAATCTGAAGAGGTAGATTCAACTTGATGTTTTTCTTACATGACTGCACTTCATAAGTATTTTTATCTATGCTGTCTATCTGTCTAAAGAAGGGAGAATTTATCAGTCGAGAGGCTTGAGTTTGTTCACAGAACTTGATGTTGCGATGTCGCTCTTGATCGGTGATGGTCTTTCCATAGCTAGAGTTTCCAACCTGTGAACAAAACGAAAAATGATATTTACAAAAGATAATAAACTAGGAAACTAGGATATTAGAGTAGTCAATTTGGCTGAAAGAGGTTTCAAACTTACCAGTTTCATTGTATCAGCAATAATAGCCTTGTCAGGGTCAGCATCTCCATCACGCCGTGCATTGGATACGGATTCACCAAACGGTCTGAAACAGGATATTGGACTGTATTCAATTACTTGGTAGATCCTGGTTACTTCAAGTCCATGTTCCAAGTACCATTTAACGAGGGGCGTGGCTAGCAGAATCTTCTCTCCATAGTAACTACCAATTAGACTTTGGCGTGGGGTGGGCATCACTTTGTGTTGCTCTGCAAACTGCTTCATGTACTCTCCAATATCGTCACGGCTGATTCTTGTATTCTTGAAAATGGGGCACATTTCACTAAATTTTGATTTTAGGTGGTCGGGGACCCGTATATCGCATTCAAGGCAACCAAACAGACTCCCATTCTTGACTGCATTCAGAATTTGCTGCTGAGTGAGGGTCCAATACCGATCCAAGGGTCTTTCAAAACGCTCTCTGAGGAACTGTTTGATGTCTGGATTGTTCCGCTTCAATTCTCGCCACTCACACTCCCACATCTCTACTAAGGAATACCCCTGGTCTCGTATGTACTGGGAATTTTGCTGAGTCTCTAAGAACAGATCAGACATATTCTTAATTCTTCTTTCGTTATACTCTTTTCCTTCGGTCAGATGACAAGTATGACCATGCCACYAGCATCCTATAAATGAATAAAAATACATAATAATTAGGTAATGCTAAATAATTAGTTGATATGAAAGTAAAATATTTTACCTTGAAATTGGAATACTGTCTTGGAGGGACCATGGAATCCATCCACTGGTAGTTGCCTGTGCCCTATTCTTTTTTCTGTGCTATTCATGCTGTGTCTGATGACGATATTTCTCTTTTGAGCTTCCCACTCTAGCCAATGTGTTGCCATCCTGATGGAATTTTCTTTCCTGAATTGGTTTTCTTCAAGTCGACGAGTGAAATTACCAGTAGGCATATCTTGCATGATGGCCCACAGGTAAAGCGCGTTAGCATCGTATCCAACAACCTTTTGACACATCTTGGGCTCCCTTCCCATATTCAGCATTTCGTTTGCTCTGATCGTTGTCTTTCCTTTTTCATGATATCTGTGGAATATTATGCTTGGTCCTCCAACCATGTTTGTTTTGAACAGCTTGTATAAATCCTTATTGTAATCATCAAACAATGAAAAGTAAATACCAGGTTCTAATGTCATGAATAGATAAGTCAGAGTCACGCCAGGTATAGAGATTCCTTGTTTGAGCATATCAATATTCTTGTCTTTCCAAAAATGGCACATCTTCTCCAAGGCCTCACAAAACGGCTGAACATCTAAATTGTTGTACCAGACTAAGAAATCTTTAAACGTTTGCATAGCATGATCATGCCATACCTGCTGGCAGTAAAGGTATTCTTCTTCGGAGATGTTCTTGTTTTTCAGTGACGAGTAGAACGCTTGATGAGTGGGGAGAGAAGGACAGTTCAACTTTTGTAGAGAATCCATCCATTCATAAGGGAAGAATCCTTTGGTTTGGGGCAGTCATAGGCCTTTAGAAATTTGTCGTAACTGAATCCTGGGGCAAGGAAGTTGGTCACGTCAAGAAATTTCAGATGTTCAGTATTTAGGGACATGAAGTTGTTGTTGCGTTTGATCGTGCACTGGATATGCTCGTGTTCCACCAATACTGGAATCAAAAACTCTTTGACTGCGTTGAGGTCATACTTGCCCGAGTTGAAACCGACCACTGGAAGCTCTTTAAGATAGTTTTCCAATTTCACCTTGAAAAAAAAATATATATATATATATAAATTCGGATAAGGTTTTGGAATAGTTTATCTTATATTTTAATTCCCTGCAACGAAATAATTTTGTTAGAAAAAACTTCACACCCATTCAAACTTAAATAACATTAAATACCTTTAATTTGAGTAAAGGATGCTTTCTCTTGTCAACTTTCTTCTCGTTGCTTTCCTGAATAGGTCTAGTCTCACCAAGATCTTGGTTTAAGGATCTGTAAAAGGAAAGGTCGTCTTCTACCATACTGTCATCGTCAATAAAGTTGCGATCTTCTTCATTTTCTGATTCAATTTCTTCATCATCGTCATCATCATCATCATCATCATTTATGACGTCTATCCCCCTTTCGCTGTCATTGTCAACATTGTTTTCATCCGGATCAGCATCGTTTCCTAACTTTTCGTCAATGCTCTGAAATACACCTGCAAACTGTTCTCTCCCTAAACGATAGCTTTCTTTGCTTATTCTTATCATGTAGTCGACCATTTCTTGGACCAACTGCTTGCAGTCTCCAGTTGAAACAAAGCAGCAGGGGCGGTCGTACTCAGGAACATTTGAACACACACTAACTGAGATGGGGATATGTTTGGCTTGCCACTTTAGTTTGTTTGTATCTTTAAGGTGATCGTCGTAGTTAAACATACATTCGAAGTCAAAGGTTGCACGGTATGGAAAAAACTTGAGATGGGATGGAATATTGATACCTTCATCTTCCAGAAGGTCAAAGATTGTTGGTGGTATATTATAGACACCGCCTGGGAATGTGAATCGTACCTTTGCTTCACAGGTACGCTCGTGTCGGTGTAACATTCCTGCGTGCTTCCAATACTTGCCACATCGAGAACAACAAAAGGACTTTGAATATTTTTGGAGGTCAAAAATATAGGAGAAATGATCCTTGTAGATGTTCAGATAAAGACTGTTACTGAACTTGCGATGAGAACGGGAAACGAGTCTGGCACATATTTCTGGTTCACTGATAGATTCTTCTTCTTCATTAGTTTCATCTTCGGATGGCTCCAGAGAGTAGACAAATATGTTTACTTCAAACAGTTTCTCTAAGTCTGATAGGTCATCTAAAGTCACTCTATTAAACTCTTGGTCAAGCAAATGGGTTTGTCGATACCTATTTAAGAAATAATGTAACGCAAAGATTATTAAAATCCAATACTAGTCTATCGTCTATATGTCAACATATTGTTTGATTAATCCATGTACATACAATTTCGTGTAGACATAGATTAAACATAAAACAATTAAAAGCGCCAAGCCATAGATACGAGCATAATTTGCATACGCTAGCATGCAGAAGAATAGAGAACGAGTAAGAAATAAAACTGACCTTTCAAAATAATGCTTAGCATCTCTCTCTAAATTTTTTAGATGTGCTCCATTATGTAGAGCCAATGCTCGAAAAAAGCACAGGTTGTCTTGATAGGGAACTCCAGTTCGTTTGTCGCAATCCAACGAATACATCCCACGATTTCTAGCAATGTAATGTGGCAATGGTGTTTCACCTCTACCGATCGGGTGGTTGATGACCTTCGTGACAAAATATGTAACGTTAGTCACTTGGTCAACAATCCATTTAGAATTAGGACGGCGTTGCCGTTGCAAAAACCGGGCTCGAACGGTGCTGAATATACTACTTATGTTCAAAACAAATAAACCAAAATTTATAAACTTAATAAACAAAGAGAAATGGCGTTAGAAAAAATATATGTATGTATTAGGCTCAATTTTTTCAACCAGTATTCCTTAATGTAATTCCTTATGTCGCAAATACACGAGTATACACACGCCGTGTTAAGTATAAGTATTAGCTTGAGGAGCATGTTCAAATTATTAAAAAAAGAGGTGAGAGTTGAAGGAAATAAACTCAAATCACGCGTATATATTATTTTTTAAATTGTTAATGTTGTAAGAAAACATTTGCCGGTAGACATCGCTTGCCTACTAACCATGAGTTAAGAAATGTTTTCATTAAACATTTCGATTTTTGAAACAATCATAATTTTGCAAGTTCGGAACTTATTTCTTCCATACTTCACAGTTATATCAATTTTTAATACGCTCATTCAAACAAGACAACTCTTCTTCTGTGTCCTGTGAATTTTGTAGAACCTTGTTGAAAAGGTCGACAAACTTACCGTGTAGTTGCTTTAGACTTTACCGTATGTTTCCCAATCATACGATAACCATTCTTATGTGAAACTATTTCAATAATGCGGCATTTCATTTTACATGGTGTATTTGCTGTAACATTCTTTCCCCACTACCGAGAAGTCATTTCGGTGTTGTCGCTTGTAAAGAGACGTAGCTAGGTAATTCGAAAAAACTAATTAGGGCAAGACTCTAATGAATAATATAATATAAATTTAAGATAGATCGCGCCCACGACTGATGTCAACGCCGCTAATTGAATTGATGTTTCTTGATTCTTTGCTGAACGCCCTTCCTAATTCATTTTCTTAGTTAGCATTTTGTATTGCTTTTTGTTTGATTAGAAGGCGATATTTTAACTCGAGATCATTTAAGGTTACTGGAGACCCTCATGATTATGTTTCGCTTAAGACTCTCTCTTCGCATCACTTTAAACAAAACCCCATAACACTATATATCGCTTTAAAGGTAATATAATAATGATTCAGAGAATAATATCATTTGAACTAAAGCGGTTATTTATTTTGAAACAATGCCTGAGTCTTGAACACAAATCGGGCACGTTCAGTAGAGGTGAATTATCAAACACGGATTTAGCGCGTATAGCCAAAAGAATTCCATTATGTGAATAAGCAAAAGATAAACAACAAAAGCGTGCAAACGAATTTCAATATCTTGCTTCTTTAAAAAGTTATTGAATTTTAAAGTCGGAACAATGACGGTAATATTTTACCGCATAAAAGAAGAAATACTCAAAATATCAAAAATCGCTCACACCTATTTGTATATTACCTTTTGCTTATTCACATAGTGAGGTTCTTTTGACTATATGCGCTAACGCGATTCCATTAATTCACTTCTACAAAACGTGCCCGATTTGTGTTTAAAGCTCGGCATTGCCTCAAATTGGAAAATCACTTTAAAATACTATTATTTTCGAAATCTTTAACATCTGGCCTTTAAAAAGATATATAATATTAGGGGGTTTTGTTTAACATGTTGCGTTAGAGAGAGATTTAAAGAGAAACATGCCCCTGAAGATCTCCAGTCCTTAAAGTCTTCAAAAAGAGACATAGAAATGGAGATGTATACCGTTAGCAAGAGAATACGAAGTAATATGAATATGTTTACTTGATAAAATTTGAATGCATGGTCTTGATGTATATAAAATAAAACAAACTGTAAAAACGATGACTGGATGGCTAGCTGTTGTCTTTAACGACTAGGCAAAACCTGAACGCGCAATTGCTTAGATCACCTCTGCAAAATTTTATAACAGCAATAGTTATAGTCATAGGTATAGCCGTGTTAAAGAACTACGCGCCTGATCAATGTCTTCGACTTTTAAATTATTTCGCAAGCTGACTCGGTTCTGATCACTAGATGCAATATTTTTTAAAGATATATTGACTCTGAAAAACTACAAATAAACACCAGGTACATATGAGTTTRTTCGAGTTTTGTTTTTGTTATTATTAACACTAATAAAATAATGAAAATAAATTTTGAAATCGATCTTGTATCAATTACTAGGAAAATTTTCTTTTGATTTTATATATGAAATTATTTTGACTGCATATTAGTCGCTTTGTCATCTATAAACATATTTTCATATTTTTAAGGAAAAGATCATTTCTAATTTTTTTAGAAGCGAAGGGCGATATTAGTGAATTTCAAAATTCACTCCAAAAAGACCATTAAAAGGTCTTTCAAAACCAAACTTTGAACGATTATTTTTGTGCCTTAGAACTGTTAGTTGAAGTATTAGATTATCCACCTATTTCAATAAATGTTGTCATCGGCAAAGGCGAGGAGGTCTCTGTAAGACTCAAGCACAGTGGGAAATGAATTTTTTTGATCACCCTTGAAGCTTGTTGTGCGAGTAGGCCATTAAATGGGATGCACAAAAACATCAACAATTTGGTCACCAAATGTACTGTTGAAGTGTTTTATGAGACCTTAATTTACAATTTTTGGAATAAATTAAACCCATTCGAAGGTAAAATTTAATGCTGTTTTTCTCATACATGCTAAACTTAATCTCCTTAAAACTTTCGTCAGTTATGAAGTATCTTTTCTTGTTTAGAAAAATACCAAATATTGTTAGTTTATTTTTTTTTTTTTTTTTATTTTTTTTGTACATGAAATATTTTTTCTCTAAAGAAACAGATGCATCAACTGTTTTAGCTACAACCTAAAATGGTCAAAATATTTTTTGGTCGTTCTCCAAAAAATTGGCAGTTCTAATATAGAGGCTTGGTGGGAAGTTTTCTGAGACATTGAAGCTACCAAATCGTGCAAAACCTCTGCGGGAACAATCATCGTTTGTCCGTGGTTAGTCAAATTATAAGGCCTAAAATTCAAAATGTCCTAAATTCAACTATATCTAATTAGCCGAAAAAGATGCAATAAGTTGAAGGATATTATTGACCTAAACAACAAAATTCTAGAAAAAAAATTCTAGTGTGCAAACACGGTAAAATTAATTTTTATGCAAAGTAAACAAAGGGTTATTTGCATTATCGTCATTTTCAACCTACCTTTATCGATACATCGTGTCTTTTGTGGTACTCTACTAAATTTTCACAAGGAAAKGTTTCTTGGGAACTCAATAAGCATTTACCGAGCTACCTTGGTTGCAAAGAGATTAGACTTGC